TTAATTAATATAAATTACTTATTCGCCCGATTTAGTAGTGATCGGCGATTACTGCGCCACGTGCTGCGGCTGCGCCACGTCTACTGCGCCACACGAATAAGCTAATTGGTTACAATATATAATTAAAATAAGTTAAAAATAAAAATTCAAAAAAAATTAGAGAACTTTAATTATTTATAAAAGTAAAATATATTATTTAAATATTATTAATTAATAAATTATTTTTTTTTAAATTATCATTATATTATCTATTTTAATTCTTTTATAATTATCTTATTATTATATTAATTTATTTATAATTTATATTAATTTATTAAAATTTTAATATAACTTTTTTTAAAGTATAAAATCAAAAATATTATAATAAAAAAATTTTTTAATATTTATTTTATTAAAATTAACTATTTTTTATATATTTTAAATATAATGACAAAAATAATATAATACTTAAATTTTTTATTAATTATAATTAATAAAATATATAATTTTTTTATATATAAAAATTTTTAATTTTACTAACAAATATTTTTTATTTTTAGCTTAAAAAATAGCTTAAGTTCTTTAATTTAATATATATTTTTTTCAGATTTTTCAAATTTTTTATTGATAACTTATTTTAATTATATATAAAGTTAATTAATTTTTATTAATTAATAATTGGTAAAAATTAATTAATTTTATATGTAATTGAAACAAGTTACTAATAAAAAATTCTAAAATTCTAAAAAAAATATATATTAAATTAGGAAACTTTAGCTATTTTTGAGCTAAAAATAAAAAATATTTATTAATAAAATTAAAAACTTTTATATATATAAAAAAATTATATATTTTATTAATTATAAATAGTAAAAAATTTAAGTATTATATTACTTTTAATTGCTATTATACAGTGGCAATCAAAAATAATGCAACGCTTAAATTTTTTACTAATTATAATTAGTAAAAAATTTAAGCGTTGCATTATTTTTGATTGCCACTGTATATAAAAATTAATAAAAAATATAAAGATATTTATTAATTATTAATTATAATTTTTGAATAATTTATTATTATTATAATATTAAATTTTATATTATAATTATAAATTATTATTTTATAAATTTTAAAAAAAAATAATTTTTAATAAAAATTAATTTATAATATTTAGTTATAATATATAATATATAATTTTTATAATAAAATATTATTTTATATATAGTTTTTATAAAAATTAAATATTAATATAAATTATAATAAAAAATATAAATTTATTTTTTTGAATTTTTATAAAAAATAAATATAATAATAATTAGAAGCTAAATTTATTAATAAAATAAAATGAAAATTAAACTTTTCTCTTTATATTAAAATTTATAATTTTATTAAAAAATAATTTTTATTTTTATATCAAAATAAAATTTATCAATTATAATTTAATATATATTTTTTGAAAGAGTTATTCTAATTATAAAGTTAATACAAAAATTTTTATACAGTTGATTCTAATAAAATGAATATTTACGTTTTTGATAAAAACGGCACCGAGATCGACATGGATTATAGACAAACTGACATAATAATATGTTTACATCTATTATTTTTGCGTTCATTGGATTGCATGTGAGCCACTATCAGAATTGATGCACTTTTTAGTGATGGACTTTTTAAAAATAAATAAGTAGAATTCGTTTGCACGTCAATGCGCCACATTTTAATTTTATATAGGTCAACGATGATCGACTAATGTTTCATTTACAAAGAATAAAAAATGTCAACGGGCTCAAAAATAACAAACTTCGCACATCGAACACTTGTGGTTTCATTATTTGGACTCGCGAGTATATATCATTTTCTCTTTCTCCCTATTAGAGAATTTAATTGATGATCTTTTTATATTTTTATTATTAAATTTAAAGTATGGTCAGGATACGGGTCAATTGTGTTACTTAACGAAAGGTTAGAACGTAAACGACAACGTCAACAACTGGTATCAACAAATTTTCAACATCTCATGTTTTATTGTAGAAAAAATAACCAAATTGAATAATACTTTATTCTTTGTTAGGCAACAGCTCAATTAGGAGGAGAGGCATCTTCACAAGAGGCAAACATAATAAATGATAATAACGAACCATAGTCAGTTTCGGAGTCTTTAAAATAAGAACATTTACTAGAAGACGAGAGATAAATTCACATATTTAACAAATTGAGATGTCGCGAGAAGTATCGTTCTTTGGATCAATCAGAATGATTGATCCAAAAAAGTTATAAAAATACTATCACGAGAAAAATGTGAATGTTCCAAAACAAAGTCTTAATAGAAAAAAAATCCGAAACATTAATAAATCAACTATAAATGATCTATTAATTTTTAGCCAACTATCAACCTAGCTTCCGATTCCTAATCCTAAGAGCTCATAACTTTACCATCAACTCTCTTTCTCATATATTCAAATACTCTCAAAAATACACAGTAACAATATTGTCATTTATCTAATTGATCAAAAGATTACACATTATACCCAACCAAACTTCCGCGACCAATTATTTCCCCGATAAAAAAGAATCCAGCAACTTCAACCGAACGAATCGCAAATGCTGCATAATCACGGCTACTATGCGACTGAAATTTCTTCGATTTAAGTGTACGAAGTTCATCGAAATGTTTCGCAAAGAAATTTCGTGCTTCATCTAGTTGTGTCATATTGGGGGGCGCTAATCCCTCTTTTGTCCATACTTCCTTGAAGATTTCTTTGGCCACCAGGGCATTGTCGACTATTGGCTTTTGGAGAGCTACACAGAGATCAAGAGGAAATAGCTAATTTTGATGAGAATCATTCATGAAACCTATTCTAAATATACTTAAATCTATAACATACCACTTATTTTCTCTATCGAGCTTTGAGCTCTCTTCGCGGTCGCCGTAGCTTGTTCTGTAACTTGTGCTGTAGAGACATTTCGCGACAAAGGTTTATTATTAATAGATGCTACACGAAACCTGTTTCCCAATAAACGAGTGAACCTTGAAAAGTTTGTGATGGCGGCAAAAGAAAGAGGTGCCATTTTAACTTTGAAAGTAATCAAATGGATTACGATGAAATTTTTTTCATCATTATTTTTTTTGGATAAGATCGTCGGAATTCTAATGTGAACAAAAGATTTCGACCCAACGAAATAATCTCCGCTTTAATAAATTAAATTCAAAAATGTATCTTTTTTTACATATTGTTTCTACGGGAAACACACTATAAAATTCTGACAATATCTCAGAGCGGATCGCTGCTCAAAACAAAACAATAGCAATCCTGAGAGATGAGACTCCAAATAGTAACTAAAGACATCACACACTATCATTTAGTTTGGTAATCAATGGATCGCACTTGCTCGAGCAATTCTTTCATTGATTCGTCCTTAACTGAATAAGCCCATGCGATACAATAATGAGCTGCCAATAAACGCCATTCTTCAAGTTCATCAAGTATCTCCAGTCTAGAAATCCTGAATGAAAAATATAAGTAATCCCACGAATTCGATGATTACGCGATGATCATTAAATCTCATGAAACGTCATGAAAGAGAATCACCTACTTACCTTGTCATCTCCTGTGGATCGATATGATGATCGTGAATCTGATTTATATCTACTGCCTCGGCAAAAGTCCATTGACGCGACAAAAAACGATTTTTTTGACTTTCGAGATCCGGGTACGCGTGAATACCGCGTAACTCTATATTTCGTAATCGTAAATTTTGTAGCATTATGGCTCCAAAAGCATCATTTGGCAAGATTTGCTCGTATAAGGCAAATAAAGCAGCTTGCATATTATCGCCAATCCATTGAATTATCTTATCAGAATCTTGTGGTTCCATGTATATAAGTACACATTCAGAAAGGAATAAAGTAGGAAGACTATGGGATATTCAACAAGTAGAACTGTTAACTTGAATTTTAATTTATAGGAATATAAAGAGATTTCTCAAAATACCTTTTATTGAAACCTTGTTTTTCCATACGTGGTATTATGCTCTCTACGAACTCTTTAAGATCACCAGATAACAGACAATAATCTGAGGCGTAAAGTTCAGCACCACCCAAACCTTTCAAAAAAAAAACAAGAATCAATTCCGTATTTTACTTTTTTTTTTAAAAAAACAAATTCAACTAATACAAACCCAATTCAACATTTCCTTCAAAGAATTCAGACAATTGCTTATTCTTTCTTATCACAACCACTTTCTTAGCGGTCACTTCCGGGTAATCGATTTCAAAATATTTATACAAACTATCCAGTAATTTTTTTGACTTTCATAGCATACAATGGTAAAATAACAAGGTAAATATACTTATCGTCACGTTCTTACCAATACTGACCAGATTCCGATCAAAATACCTTAAAATTAAAATACCGTGTATCTGATCCAGCCCCAAGTGACACTATCTGTTTCTTGATTTTTGGGACTTTTTTTTTCCCTTCATCATTATTATCATTACCAATCCCCGCTTCTAGAAACTTTTTTATTAAGGCGTCTAGACCGGCGTATCGAACATAAGTCCCTTTGAAGCAAATGACAAGGTAACAAGCATAAATTTAAATGTAAGATATGTAAAGACTAGACAAGAATAACTTGCAAAAGAACCTCTGTTTATAATGGGCGGTCGTCTTGACGGTTTTTTCACAAAGTATTTTACATACGAGTCTTGTATATATCCGGCATTTACAGCTGAGCTACAATATACGGATCAAAAGGTTTATTTCACGAATTATCACAAAGAAGTCCATTTTGAACGAAAACCTACAGTTTACTTGTCACGGCATCCTCATTAGTTCCTCGGATAGCGTTATCCAGAATTAAAGAATCCATTACGATAATTAGGATGAAAATCTTCGTGGGAAAGAAAGCACATAGTCGCAAAAATTTTCATGGGCTGGCTAACAAATTAATTTATCGACGGGGTCTGGGAGATAATTTTTCAACATGATGTGGCTTATCCTCTCTAAAAGTCAAGCCACCACGAAAATCGCGAACAGTCACTCGTCACATATAAAGAATGGAAATTCAACATAGAATAATGACTTCTTTGTTTAACTCAACTGACGCGTTTTGCATATTATTGTTGTTGGTTTTTCTCCTTTTTTAAAGTTTAATTAATATCTTTTATCGTTTTTCGAAGAATATAATCACGCTTCGAATTAGCCACATCCTAATTCACAATAAAACAGTAAAAGGACGCGTCAAGAAATATAGTTTTTTTTTCCTATTATAAGAGGAGACAAAGAGAATTTAACATTTCTGTGAATAAGCAGAACAAAAGCAACGAAAGGTAAAGAATTATTTTTAACACCCAAATAATTATTCTAATGAAAATAATGAAAATAATGAAAATCAATAATAAGATAGATAATAAAAGAATATGCCAGCAACTTTATCCGCTCCGGAACCAGATAGCTGCTGTTTGATGAATCAAGGAAAAAAAGTTCACGGTCCATTTAATTCAAAAGAACAAGAAGATCTCGGTGATCACTGTAGTATTTGTAGCGGTAAATCATCGGAAGAAGTAAATAATGGCGAAGAGGGTCAAGGCAGTGACAATTTGAGTCTGAATGAAAAACTTCATCATCATCATCATCATAGCAACGGCGATCAAAATATAAATAATGATAAAAAGAAGAAGAATAATAGTGATAATAGAGAGGAAGTTACACGAAATTATATGAAATCAAAAGGTATCATCGAGGAAGTGCCAAATCTGTATGAGGTAAAAAAAATGGGTCTTTTTCATGATTCTCCTTGTCTTGTAATGTATCTATTTTTAATTTGGTTTATATTTAGTCATTTTCATCATCAACACTTTTATCGATGGACAAGTTGATGTCGATACAGAACCAACGGATAGAAACAATCGTAAAAACACTTAAACAAAATACTGATGATCAGACGTCACAATTCACCCTAATACACGACGTAATCTCAAATATAGAACCTCTAATAGAGATGGTTGATAAATTATCAACAAAAGTCGAAAATAATGAAATTGAATTACAAAGAATAAGACGTCTAGTAGCCTGGTATTGGAGGTTAGCGTATAGTGGTTTTCTCGTAGCGGTTGTGGTGTTGGCGATTGGGTGGTGTTTTTTCGTTGCTGGTGATGATGACGTTGTTCGGGATGAGGATGACTTGTATAAAAATTTGTTTTAATATATCATTAATCTACATAATTGTAAATCTAATTAATCGTAAATATCTTAAGAAATTTTCAGTTAATAAAATAATTCAAAGTTTCATTTGAATGTGTACATTTCGTTAATCTAGAAATTATAAGAAATATTGAGACTATCAAAAATCGGAATAGTCAGTGAACGAGATCAAAGATGTTTAAACAATGATCAATAGAAATTTATAGTCCAAATGCTAAGCTTTTTAATATACGAAAATTTATTGAAGGATAACTACAGTGATTAAAAAACTACTACTATTACTTAAAAAAATCATATACATTAAAGAAAGAACTATTGAAGAAATGAAGAGACTATTACAATTTCTGTTAGAGCTTTTTGAATCAATGAATTGATTCAAAATCCGAACATATATTATTTGTATCCGTTAGGATAATATTTTATTCGGAATTGTCTCGTTACGGTATCTAGATAATACACCTTCCAAGTCACGAACAACCGGCACTCTTACCTTCTTGACATTCTATAATAAAATTTAACATCTTACTTTTTTAAATAATTCCACCATTACTTACCTTACACTGCACTAGAATAATATTGTCATTACCTCCAAATAAGTCAACTTCACCATCCCCCGGTTCGTGACTTTAAGTAAATAAAGAATATGTTGGCCACGATGAGCTTTCTATTTCTCCGATTTACACCCAGTGGCGGTGTAACTTCATATACATAACAATTCAATAAATAACTCAGTGAAACTCACCCCATTTTGCTCGAAGCATTTTTCCTTTACCTGCAGAAGTAGAGGCGCCTTACTCGTCCTTAATTACAAAACAAATATGGTTTGGGGGAAACTGAGCTGCATCCATTCCCTGATTTTATCGAGGTTTGTCTTCATCATTCTGTTGTTTCAATGAATCTATTAGCTAATTATTTTTCTTCCATAAATCAACACTGAATCATATTACGTCGCAACAGCAACGTCGTTAACTGATTATTTGATTGAGGTAGCTTAGTTTTCTTCAAGAGGTCTAATCGCCAAAAGCCTTTTGTTTTCTCTTCCTTAATTCTTGACAACCAGGTGTAATACCGTGTTTTATAAAGATTATTCTATTCCTCCAGTACTCAAATTCTTCATTTTCTGAGTCCTGTGATAATCGTATATATTTTGTGTATAATAATAATCTATTATATTTAGCACAAGTCCATTCGTGGACCGGCTGATCTTGTAATAAAAATCAACTTCAGCGTTTGAAGTCATAAGGGTACGTGTCCAGGCGCAGACGCAGAAAAAAAAATTAGAAAGTCTTAATTAAGAACCATTTTGCGTTACCCAGGTTTTCTAAGTATTAATCCTTCGGTAATCCACGCAGAAGCGTTTCTTTACTGACTACCACAACAGGAGAAGCGAACACTAAAGCTAGAAATTTTCTGTTTTTGTTTTGAATTTTTTGCGTTAGTGATTGGGTTTGCCTAAAAAAAATCACATGATGTTGTTCAATATCCGATCCTCCGACGCCGCCGATCTAAATTACCGTGAAATTTTTATCTGGCTACGCCGGGTAATCAAAAATTCCATACATGCAAACATATGTTGTAGATCAGAAAAATTATCAAACTCAATTCTTTTCTACAAATAACCAGAAAACGTAAAATTTGTAGAAAAAATTCTACAGGAAATAATGTCAGACTTACAACAATATGTTGACCGTATCCTTTTTATTAAAAAAATGAAACATTTTCTCGAAAAATTCTGGTGAAAATTTGCTGGCTTGGAGATATTTAATTATGAATGTTTTTTGGAAAGGCTGGATAATTGAAATTTCTCTAATTCATAAAATCTGTTATTATCTTCTTGACTTTCTTGATCTTATTTTTCTTCAAATAAAAGAATCAGTAGAAGTGATCACAGTTGATGGCCGTGTAATAGTGGTGCGTCTATTAAGTATAGGAGGGGAAGAATGGTTTGTGTCTGATTTTTTCAGGCAAACGAGAACAATTGATTAATAATGTAATCATATTTCAAGGGAACACTCAAAGGGTTCGATCAAACGACAAACATTATCTTGTCTGGATGTCACGAACGTGTGTTCTCTGAGACAGAGGGTGTTGAGAAAGTTCCGCTTGGATTGTATATAATACGAGGGGATAACATGTAAGATTGTTGAATGATTCACTCAAATTTCGTTAATCATAAATCGGTTGGAATTAATTATTTTTTTGAATTACAGATGTGTTGTAGGCGAACTGGATACTGAACGTGACGAAGCGATAGATTTATCAGAAATTAGAGCACCTCCGATAAATGACATCATGAAGCGTTAAATAATAAAAAATCAAAAATTTTAAATTCTAAAGAATTATACAATAGAGATCAATTCAACTTTACCATTAGATAAATATATTTATGTATCATTTATTTATATTCGATCAAATCCTTTTGTAAATATTGTAAATGTCTTTTTTTTATGGGAAATTGTTAATTAGAGACTGGGATATCTTTTTGTTTGTACATCCACTTTATTTTTTTTTATAGTTTGGTTATTAATAATTTATAATCATTGAATAAAAAATTCAATTAGGTTTGACTTTACGTGATGCCTCCTCCTATTGTTCTCGATGTATTTCGCACCTAATGAAAAAAGGAGCCCCATTTCTAGCCGTTCGCTTCTAATATTGCGATATGCAACTAATGTTTGTATTTGCCTTAATCTTAAACATGACCTTCTTTGTGCATAAAGGAACCTGTAGTGTATATGAGCATTGATCATAGTTTCGTTTCAATAATCTTTCTAAACATGCATCTCATGATAATGATAGAACTTGTAATTAGAGTATTCGTTAGTGAGAAAATATACTAATAAAATATACGAAGAAGACATGCAGCCACAAATTAGTCCCAGCATAGATAGGGTATTCAATCCTCAAGATCCACGCCAAATTTTTCATACATCTTTTTCGTAGTAGTTCCTTCGTATACTGCGCACTTTTATGATGGATGGGTGAATACCATTTCGACAAAGAAAATACTCAGATTTTAGTAAAACAAATATACGTAATTGCGTCGTACCTTTCCAAATAACATTTGTCCTACATCTCTGATTTCATTATACTCATGTAATAGACGGCAATGATTTTGAATTTCTTTTTCAGCGTTTATTTCCGGTCTGACATTTTTTGGAAATGAAATAGATAAATAATAAAAAAATTTATAGATGGAAATTAAATTATCTACATTACCCTAGGCTATCATTTAATTTTTTAGCTTCCGCGCGTAATTCTTCAAGTTTCTTTTCGAGCCCTTCAATTTCTATTATCAATTTTTCCTGAATTCAATGTAAATATATTAATTGAAGTTAAATTATTGGATCCAAACGCGCATTGTTAATAATTTCTTATGAAAAGTCGAAAACTATGAATTACCTTTTCAGCGAGAAACTTTGGATCAGCTGAAGACCCATCAACTGGTGATTGCTTTCGCTGTTTTTTTTTTTCGAAAATAAATAATTAGATTAAATATACGAAGCTTGATAGAATTTTCTATCTACCTTTGTTCCTTTTATTGATGGTGACGAAGGTGGTGGAATTTGTATTAATGAATTCGAACTCTTTTCCTTCAATTTATTGGTCATGATAAACAATATTATGATATAAAAACTGTCAATGTTGGGCAAAATTATGGAATCACGTCGTACCTGAATATAGCATACCTTACATTTTATCACTTCTTGCGCCGGATTTGTTTTCCGGGTTGATTAAAAATTTGCGCATTCTTATTGGTCTGTGAAGTGCATGTGATCAGGAACGGAGGATCACATCGGAAAATCCGACCCCCTGATAATCGATGATACTGATCATTTTCCGGCAAAAATTCTCATAATAGCGTTTTCATTAAGGCAACATAGAAAGTAGTTTCATAGACGAAATTTCGAAATACAAGCTATTTTTCCGTTTTTTACATTTGTTTTGAATTTTTCCGTTACACATTGATCTTGTTATTTGCCTCCTAAAACTCGCCGGAAAATGATTATCAATATCACTGATTATTAGGGGTCAGATTTTCCGGTGTAATCTTCAATCACGTGCATGTAAAATTTGGATCTACATTGTCTACATTCTGATCTTAATCTATTTTCCGTTCGCGTGATAATCAGCTCTTCAATTGGTTAATGAAAAATTACGTAAAAATCGAATTTGAAAATCTTTAATTTCTGCTTTCACGGACGCGAAGTACTGATTGGCGCGTAATTAGATCACCGCATCTGTATTCTTTGTAATTATCTTTAACTTTGGTATCATATTAGATTTACTCTATTTGTCGCGTTTGCCATTGCCAACCTTCTGAAGAATGAGGGACCATCGCGGGCAGTGCCAATTGCCAACCTTCTGAAGAATGAGGGACCATCGCGGGCAGTGCCAATTGCCAACCTTCATGAGGGTCTGTCGTCTGGTACATGGGCGTGCAGCTTCCTTCAATTTTTCTGAAGTGAATGACTCTCGTTTGCTCTTTCAGTTTTTCTGAAATTAAATGCCACTCGTCGTGTATCTATTGCATTTTAGGAAAATTAAGTGACCTATGCGGATTTTTAATTAATGAATTTTCGGTTATAACGTGCATTTAGAGAAAATTTATAGAGGGTAAAATATTTAATACTTCATATACAGTCAGACCTCTCTAAATGCGCGCATTATGTTTACCCTCCATTAAAGCACGCTCTGATTTAGTCTCAAGTATATGAAGCATTAAAAACTTTTGCCCTTTGAAAATGCCTAAATGCACGTTATATCTGATTTTTTCTGTCTTCTGACGACTTGCACTTAGGGAGGTCTGGGACTATATCAGAGTTTGCATTAATGGAGGTAAACATAGCACATGCATTTAGAGAGGTCTGACTAAATAGTTTTTGTCAAGGCAAATGCTTAATAATGAGAAATGTTCTTTATGAAATCTATCTATACCAATTTTCGTTGTTAGCTATTAAGATTTCAATTAGTAAATTAATTTAATCATTTTTTTACGGTGTGTAATATTGACATTCAGATTTCGTAAAAAACATTTTTATCACTAAGCTCTTGAATGCAGTATCTATAAAATTATAATTTATAAAATGGTTAAAAAATACTATTTTCAATATCATAAAGTCTATTATACAAGATTTAATATTATTAAACAGAATATTATGATCAATCTTATTTATGATATTAAGAAATTGGTAAACTTTTTTTAAACTAGAATTAACTGATAATTTAATTGACAATTTAACTAATACGGATAATTTGAAAAAGAAATGGGTTTCAATTTTACTGAAAATTTATATCTTAATATAAATCAACTATTAACGTTAATTAAACGTCAACTTATTCAAAGATTTGCAACTTTTTAAAACTGAAGTTAAACTTTGAATTCAATTTTTGGTTTACAAAAAAAAATTAGAATACAACTTATCAGATTTCTTGCATTATTATGGTGTTTGTGGACTGCCATTAACATAATATTTGTATGCGTGTGAAAGCACTTCGACAATTTTTATGACACTTAACTGAAGGGGTTTTCAAATTCTGTACTACTTGATAACGATCCTGGAGAAAATGACTGCTGTAAGAGGCTATATAAATCTTCAACTTTGTTTTGGCATACAAACTCTCATTTTGAATGTAGTGTACTAAAATTTTTTTAGAGTAATTTTGACTCGGTAACAGTTCGTAGATGGCTGCAAACTGGCTCGCGAGAAGCTTTATGCACAAAAAGCATATGAAGTACATGTATATATTAAATTTGATTTTATTGACCCACCTTGGATTCCAAATAGAAGTACTAGTACACTTTGATATGAACAGGATGCATTAAATACAATTAAAAAATATGCAAGTTTGCATCCTTTATTTAATTCCTATAAACAAAAATACTTGTGGACATCATCAAATAATGTAATGCTTAAGAAAATCGGATTTGGCATTTTCTTTTGCAATTGGAATTATTTTTGTTATTAAAATGATAGAAATACAGCCGTCCTACGCCTCGGGACCCGCAAAAAAATGATTTTAAAGAGATTGTGACTGTAGAGATCAGATTTTCTATGCTTTATAACATCTAGAACTGGGAAAAGGTGGAATTATATAGAGAATGAAAATAACGCGTCTAAATTTTGCTCTTTCTTATACACGACTTTTATTCAAATCATATGCAGCTTGCTTAATTTTTATATTATAAAAATTAGTACTTTCTAGTTCGAATCAATATACAAGTTATTGTAGCAAGAAAAGGCCAAAATAATTCAGGTGTAACAAATGTTGCATTAATATACCTTCATCATTTGGTCATCATATCAATAGTTCGAATTTCCGGGACTTCCTCAGGAGTCAAATGTCCACTGACCCTTGTCGTCAAATTGTTGATCGTGGAAATGATATTCTGTGCTTCTGTTACGGAGAATTATTAGATCACGGTTGATCTTTTGCACGACATAGTACAAAAAAGAAACATGTGGCATACGCAACGGGAATATCATTGCGAGAAAGAAAAATAAAGTAGGGAGAAGCATAAAAGGCATATTTTCTACGGAATTGTATTATCGAAAATACATTTGTCAGCATTACATCATTTTGATCAATTAAACCGAAAAAAATTCATTCAGTCTTTCGCTTCCCAAGTCCGTGCACGATCAACTAGCACGTTTGTCCAATGATCATCGTTGCATGCCCCATACACATGTTTCGTTCACAGGATGAGAATACGTCAAAAATTAAATTTCCTGAAATAATAAATGTGCAATTAAAAAAATCAGATAATCTAAGATCCCGATTTATATCTTTTCCTTACCAGGACGTCTATTGTCGCCGAACCGTAAGACATGTGAGCGGATCGAAAAAAATATCCCGGAAAAAAATATTAGTTAATCTGTCTATAAAAGTGATCAGATACGAAATCGTGAAAAAATCTTAACTTACCGATACACCTATCGCTCTCCGAAATGTAGGAACATGTAACTGGATAATGGTTCCCGAGAGCTTTCGTGCCAAATTAAAGATAAGTTTTTTATTACGTAATAATCCAAAGGATCCAGCATAAACCGATAATCATGAAGCGTTTATTTTTCGGATATTGTCATTATTGTAATTTTCTACTCCGGCTCTTCTGAAAATATTTTGATTGATGTACTAGAATTTTTTTGAGTAATTTTGACTCGGTAACAGCTCGTAGATGGTTGCAAACTGGCTCGCAAGAATCTTTATGCACAAAAAGCATATCAAATACATATTTTATTGACCCATCTTGGATTCCAAATAGAAGTACTGGTGCACTTTGTTCAGAACAGGATGCATTAAATATAATTAAAAATATGCAAATTTGCATCCTTTATTTGTTTCCTATAAACAAAAATGTTCATACACAGTGAACCTGGATAAACCGAATTTTCACCTATAATGAAGTTCTCTGATGTGCCAATTTTTTTTATAGTTTTCTACCTGAATATAACGAAAACCTGGTTATACTGAAAAAATGGGTGGGACGGACCATTTTGTTATATCCAGGTTCACTGTGTAATAAAAACAACTAGAGATAAAAAACTACAATAATTACTGAATCTCACTAGTGTGTCTATAATTATAATCGGATCAATAAATAATAATCAAAAGGAAATTGAAAAAAATAAATATCATACAATATCCAAATCCATATCTTTTGTTTAATACCACCAAGAAATTATCGATATTATTACATATCGAAAATTATTCGAGTCTGGACTAACATTACACTAACGTCCCCAGGACTCTCATTCTCGATAAGCGCAGTAACCAAAAAATTCGGAATTTGTACAACTTTTCAAGATCTGGCATTTTTATTATTAGAAATAATAATAGGAATACAGTAGTCCCTACGCCTCGGGACCCACAAAAAATGATTTTAAATAGATTGTGACTGTAGAGGTCAAATTTTCTATATCTAGGACCGGGAAAAGGTGTGTCATATAGAGGATGAAAGTAACGCGTCTGAAATTCTTTATACACGACTTTTATTCAAGTCGTTTACTTGCAGCTTGCTTCATTAAAAGCAACACAGCAACTTTTATATTATAAAATGTTATTGTACTTTCGAGTTCGAGTCAAGATGCTAAAAAGAAAAAGTTATTGTTAGCAAGAAAAAGGCAAAATAATTCAGGTGTAAATTAATATACCTTCATCGCTTGGGCCATATACCGTTGCCCCAAAACTTCGATAGAATCAACAACAGCTCGAATTTCCGCGACTTCCTCAGGAGTCAAATGTACTTTAGTCGCTGCGACATTTTGCTCCAGATACCTATTTATGATAAATTTTGTTACGAGTTATATATATATCAGGAATAAAATGAATGCAAATAAAATGGTAACGTGTTTTTTGCTCTTACTTTAATGTCTTTGTTCCGGGAATAACTACGAAGTCTTCACCCTAAAGCAGAAGTATATAATGTTAGAATCTTTTATATGAAATGGTTTTATTATTAGTGAGAAAATATAAAATTACCTGAGCCAATACCCACGCAAGACATAATTCACTTGTACTGACACCTTTTTTCTCAGCCATCACATTAAATCGATGCACAATTTCCGAATTTTTTGCAAAGTTTTCCCCTTGAAATCGTGGCAAGTTTTTTCGAAAATCGTTATCGTCGAAATCGTCGGGTGATTTGTATCGTCCCTAAATGAACGAAGAATTTAATAAAATACAGGATACAAGGTTTAATGAATAAATGATAGAATAATAGAAACAAACCGTTAAGAAACCACGTCCCAAGGGACTATATGCCACAATAGTGACACCAAGTTCACGACAAGCCTCTAAAATTCCGTTTTGTTCGATATCGAGACTCCATGGACTATATTCAATCTAAGTAATAATAATTTATTGGTATTATCAAAAATCTAAATATGGGTTATATCAATGTGTGATTATACCTGTAACGCGGCAATCGGATGAACTTTATAAGCACGACGCAAAGTGTTGGCACTACACTCTGATAACCCAAGATATTTAACTTTTCCCTCTTTAACAAGTTCCGCCATTGCTGCGACTGTTTCTTCAATTGGCCTATTATTATTAGAAAGTGTTGACGGTTAATTTCTAATAAAAGACACAAGATTAGACGAGATCGATACATACACATTTGGGTCTACACGATGTTGATAATAAAGGTCGATTTGATCTATTCCCAATCGTTTTAAGCTCTTTTCACATGCTTCGCGTACGTATTCTGGGGTTCCATTCATGCCTAAAAATGCGCCATTTGAATCGCGTATATTACCAAATTTCGTGGCAATGAATACGTCTTTTCGATGATCTTTGAGGATTTTGCTTAAAAGTTCCTATACACAAGCAGAGAAGTAAATCAAAAATTGATAGATAGAAACGAACAAATCCAATTCATTATACCTCATTATGGCCAAGTCCATAAATATCAGCCGTATCGAAATGATAAGCACCTAATTCGATGGCGCGTTTCAATACTTTCAAACTTTGCTCATCATCTGCTGCGCCATAAAACTCACTCATTCCCTTTTTTTTCAAGAGAATACAAATTTATAAATCAACTAAACCAATCATTTTTGAGTATCATTATCAAGAGGATTGTTGCTATAATACCATACATCCCAAACCAATAGCAGGAATTTTGGCACCCGTTTTACCAAGATTACGAAGAGGAATCGATGAAGACATTGTTTTTTTTATGATTTATACAATGTTACAAACAATTTATTTCTTAATAAAAATTGGCCATATACACGATTTATATCAACTTTTTTCATCAATTAGTTACTTAGGACAAATTATATACATACATCGATTCAATTATTTTTGGATGATTACGCGTTCACTCGCGAAGGAAATTAATAGATGAGAATTTCTTCCATCCCACAAAAAGATTAATAATACAAAAGACAACGTCAATTAAGTCTCAACCGGGCCGAAAGAACACCGAATTTATATATGATAGGAATAGCGGAAAAAAGATTTTTCTTGTTTAAATTTTGATAAATAATCATGTTTAAGTGCGTAACTTGACATTTTTTTCATATCTCTTTATCTACGATTACTAATTAATCGATGTTAGATGATAAACCAAAAAAACCTGATAAATGTCACGAAAAACAAGAATTTATCGTTGTCTTTTGAGGAAATAAAATTCCTCGCCCCTTAAAAAATAACTAGAATTCTGCAAGTACAAGTGTAACGTAGAATAAATGTCATACCATCGGAAATTATTGACATGCTTAAATTTTGTACTATGTTATTCAAAATAACGTGTCAATGGTAATTCATTTTTTTTTAGATAAACATTAAAGAGAGGGAGACGCAGTAGCACTACCTGACACTGCTGTTCAGAAGATCCGATGAATTACGTATTGAAAATTGTATTCAAGTTTGTTGATATGTCATTAATACTTGAATAATTTCCAATGTGCTTCCCGCCAAAAAAATCGAAATCGAGCCTATAAGAATTAAAAAGAACGAGAGAAAAACCTTAAAATGACTGTGATTTCTATCGATAATTTTCATCCCCGTTCATATGTACATGTTGGTATGATATTACACAATAATGAAATAAATCACATCAACTGATTGGGAATCTTTGTATAGAATATTACTGTTGCTCAACCCCCCGAATTCAATAATTGAATAATCAATAATATCGTAGTCTTCTTTTCTTCAAATAGAATGTTAATAAAAAATCGCGTAGTATATATGTATATATATCCTTTTTTAATGTCACCGAATGAAAAATAAAAGCACATATACGTGCATATGTGTGTTCGTGCTATTTAGAGAACGAAGTAGGTCAACAATTGAATGTTAAAGAGGGTAAGTGCAGCTAACAATTTACGTTCGAGAGAGAAACGTGGATACAAGAGATGCTCAGTGGATCAATGAATTGATAAAACGTGATCGGTCACGAATTATTCTTGATTGTATTTTAAAATGTAGAGTTGTTATTCAAAGCCTCTTTTTTTTCGGGTCTTTACGATATTGAAAACTATCTGTTCGATATTCTTCTACCCAAAATGGATGGGATGGGTCATATGAACATTTTTTACACGCACAAAGCACACCACCCAATCGATGACTGGATTATTATTATTACTTGCTAAAGAAATAGTTAAATGGATAATGGGCCATCGTCGTCATCATTTTTTTTTGATTACGGCATTGTACAGAAATGTTTATGGCGACACAAAGAAAATGGAAGGGGGGTTTAAAAAGAAGATCAATGAACAAATTAAAGTATGTTACATTAGATTTCACATACTATTCACATAAAAAAATAATAAACACTAATCAAAAAATGTTATTGAAAAGACAAAGAAAACCAAGAATGATTAAACATCCAATGAAACGCAAGAATGCCTGTTTTGACATGTTTGTGTCATTTTTTTTTTCATTTCATATCAATATGGGGTAAATGACATTTAACGTTTAAACTCAGTGTCAGAGCAATTATTTGTGCTTGTGTCGTGCGTTATATGTTATTTGTGGGGTAAAAAGTCTAAAATACTACTGGGTTATTTTACTAGATTAGATCAGAGAGAGAGAGGTGAAATGTAAAAAAAAAAAATATACCAATGAATAATTGGAATCGGTAAAAATAAATGAATCGCCGAATAAAGAACTAAAATAAAAAGATATTTTTTTTGTCTGTCATTCATTCCCGTATTTGATCGTGACGTTGGATTATTGTAATTTCGCGTATTTTATATATGCCTAGATTTATCGTCACATTTACAGAAGCAAAGAGATGTTGAATCAATGAGATAATGAAGTCCCCGTTCTCCAAAAATTTTGAAACTTATCTTACATAGATAGAATTTCTGCCAATGATTCATCATAGTATCACCAAACTAAAAAAAAAAAAATGAGTTAACTTTTCTTTATATGCGTAGTTTCTATTAACGTTATTGAGCTGTAGACTATTTATTTGGTGCATCGCACAATAAATTAGTTTACATGTATATCATTAAATTGCATTCATGCTCGATTGATGAATTCACATCTTTTGTTGTACGCATTCATATTCATTACATATTTAGCTTGTTTATTTACGAGATGATAAATGATCGTCTCTTTCGAGAAATTCTGTTAACGTTAAATCGTTATAAAGTTATAGCTTCGTTATATTTATTTATTTATTCATCCATTTATTCATTTATTCGCTCGTTTGTTCTTTTGGGCGTAATTCTCTATCTCTATCCATCTCTTTCTCCCAAAAAAAAAAGGGAGGTGTATGTATATATACAATAAATAATATAAAATAAAAAAAAATTATTTTTCCTGCAGTTAGCCAACCTGCTTCAAAAAACAAATTTTACGAACTATACTCTTCTCTTCTTTTCTATTGTTTCCACTATTATTATTATTATTATTATTATTATTTTATTATTATTTTTAGTGAAGGCCTTAGCTTTATTTTTCTCCTCGCGCCTTTGGCTCTCTATTAATATACTACAAACACAAAGTAAACGAAAGAGTGAGCGTAAAATAAAATTAAAATTTTAAAAGAACCATTGTTGTAATTATTGTTTTGCTATTGTCACTTGTACCTTACATACATCACTTCTATTTAATAACATTATTAACATTTTCGAAATATTCTTCGTTCAAAACTCGGAAATACAAACAAAAAAACAGGTCTCTCGAATATATACTATAATATCTCTCTCTTATATGCAATTGCGTTATTGTTATTATCCATATTATTAGTAGTCATTTGTGGAATTTCAGAATTTAATAGTCATTTAGGAATTTACACATATTCTACACCACATAAATCTCGCTCGCTCGCTCTTTCCCGCACACCCTTGTTGTGTTTGCCGTTTCTAAATTCGCCACTTGCGGTTTTGTCATGACTTGGTTCTCAACAGCGCGAGAGCTGTTATTATTACTAGTATTCGACACTTTTGGACGCAATTGTTGACTTTGGATTGATAAAACCTACACACTATTTTTTACTATTTCATACATTTTCTCGTATACACGCACCCGTTGAGAAAGAAACGACATCCATTCCTTTTGTATTTTTTGTAAATATTTACATATATTTTTGAATTTTTTGTAAATATTTACGAAATTTTTTTATCACAATAATCTTTTTTTTTTCCTTTTATCTCTTCCACTTATATAAACTTTTGTACGACAAAATATAACTCTTTCAAGGCTACAATATTAAAAAATTTTCCATCAATTTCTCTCTTTTCGTCTCTCACCTTCAACGTATTTAACATTATTTTATAAATATCAAGAGCAAAAATCGTAATTGAACGATATTTTCATCACAAGCCTATCGGTGCCTTCGTCGAATTCTTTTTATTTATTAAATACAAAAATTCGAGCGCAAATGAAATTAACAAAACTTTTTGTTCGTCCAGTACGCCAAAAACCAGCCGGAATAGTGCACAACATCAATCACAATAATAATAACAATAATAGTAATAATGTTCATCACATACACGGAAATGGAACTAATTCACCACCGTCGTTGCATACTCCACGAAGTCGTCTTTTACAAGTTTCGCCACCGACACCAAGCACCTTAAGAAACAAAAATAATAGCAAGATATTCTCCTTTAATGCAGCACAAAACAACAATTCATTTCTATCGAACCACTCAGCCCCTCGACTTTACATTGAATCGCCAGCAAGTTCTGCGAACAATTCGGTGCTTTCGCTGCCCGAACAACAAGAAGACGAAGATTTAGATGAGAATATCTTCTATACGACATTGAGACGAGATTATCCCAAAGTGTTTCATCGTGTTTCGGTGGTTTGTGTACCACATTCCCGAAGTATTACTGGTTTGAAAATGACTCGGGCTTTTATCGGTATGTTCGATCTTATGTCGTGACGTTCTTCTATAAAGAAAATTATTATGCACGCGTGCTTGCGATTTGCACTATACGTTAATTTACTGCGCCAAGTTTTGTATTAACGTCACGTGTTTTTGTCAAAATTCCTAGAGACACATTCGCTCACACCATCCCCTTATTTCCAAGGACAATTCCTGAGTGTTAATGGAAAAGTCGTAAGTATAGAGCGGAACGTAATAAAAGCAATATCAGGTAAGAGAAATCAACAAAAAAAATCAAAGATCAATTTACGCTTTTTTCTCGTTTCAATCGTCATCATTAAGCAAAATTCTCACATGTTCCAGGTTTCAAAGAGGAAAGAACAGTGAGAATTCTAGGGGAAGAATTAGTCTACAGCGAAAATTATAAATCAATTCAAGTTCTGATTCTTGAAAAACCGCTAGAAGGAGAGGGAAAAGTGTCGGAGGTTTTCGGTATGGGCATCCCGACTGAAAGAAATCACGAGACTGATTTACAGTTTTTGCAGAGTTTCCCAAATAATAGTCAGTCCTTGATGGAATTGACACATGCGGTGGCAGAGTTTAACGAAACTTACGTTTTTGTGCGTGGTTACGCACCGTCAGCTGTTGATAAGATTGCACAAATTTTCCATAAGGCTGTTCAGGTATCTTGATGGTTGCATTACTGTTGGTTTGATGTAATTTTTTGATATTATTGATGACTCTGATTTACAAAAAAAAATTTTTAGAACATTATGGAAACCAATAGTACAATACGATCTATATGTAAAGTGCAGCACGAATATGAGTGTTTCCTGGAGCTTGTTGAAAAGTATGACTTTATAGTTTTATTTTGTAAATGCCTAATTTTCATTATTTTCAAATTTATCTAAGCATTGTTTCTCAATCTCGGAAAACCAAAAGTGTCCTGATGAGTGAATTGCATAATAAAATATTTGTGCAATCACTGTGTCCAATCTACAATTCATACGACAATTATCTCGAATCAATAATTTATGCGTACGGACGAGCACGTATAACCTTACGAGATTATGGTGTAAGTGAACGTCTCCATGACATGCCCGAAGAAATGCTGGATACCGCGTGTGACATATTAGCAGCATTAGACGAAGATAACGGCTTAGACTATCGTTTCCCGCAACAACAACATTATGGTGTTGGGTCGACAACAACGATCCTAGAGGAAGAACCTCCAAAAAAAAATTTTACGATACTTGTTAAAACACCTTTAGAGAAACTGATTTGCGCGAAACGTGCTATTCAGGAGATTGCTAATGCTGCTGACACTTATCTAAATCAATTGGCGCCGAGACATGGGTCTGATGAAGAGGATGCTGATAGGTCTTCTATTACGACGGACGATTTTATTCCGTTGCTTGCGTATGTTATAGTTCATAGCGGAATACGACGATTACAAAGTATTTTGTTTTATATGCAAACATTTCGGCTGTCGAAAGTTGAACGATCTGAACTCAGGTATTTAAATATGGGAAAAGAACGGAAATTGCAAGAATTCTAGTCTCAATTTTAACCTAAAATTGGGTAATGCAATTATTTTTAGTTTCGCGTTCACAACTTTACGTGCGTCAACAGAATTTCTGAAATCTGATCCATTAGCGATTCATGATTCCGCATCTACGACCTCTTCGATCTCTTCAATGGCGTCATCTCAGTCATCTCTTAAACTTTCCGCAATCTCATCACATCGTATACGAAGTCGATCCACGTCTCTATCAACACCAAATACATATCAGACATCACAGAATTCAAACTTGCGGTTATCAATGCCCGTTGCTCTTAACTCTCAACAGCAGCAGCAGCAGCAACAACACCAACAACAAAATAATGGAATCAAACGAGAAAAATCACCTGCGCGATCAATCTCTTCCGTTTCTAGTATGCCAGCGTATGTTCGAACAAATTCTGGGAATTATATCGATCATCGTCAGTCAGTAAGCGATGAGTCCCCAAAATCGGATACGACTCTTGAAGATACAGTTCAATCTCGTAGATTATCTTCGAATTTTTCGAATTTATTGATTAAACCGCAAATACTATTGCACCCGATTCCAAGTCCAAAAGGGCGCAATAGCATTGACAGTGATCAGTGGTCATTAAGTGAAAATTCGACATCGACAGCAGTGGCAACACCATCGCAACAGAATAACGATAACCCCATATTATTACCAGCTGAACCAATGATCCCTTCCCCACCACTTCCAGAATTACCATTAGCCGTGAAAAAAAAGATGTCTGAAAATCACATTGGTCTTCTGCCACCGTCCGGACATCCACAAAGCAGCAGTTCGCAAAATAAACGCCCTAATCGACATTCTGTTCCAGAAGTACTTGCGATAATTGAACGTGTTCCGCCTCAAATGCGAGCTAAACGCCAGCCAATTATTGATTTGGAACCGCCTGGTCCTGAATTTATGGGAGAATTTTTGAGCTCGTTGCAGGGGATCGATGGTGCAATAGCTGGCAGCCGTAATGGTGGATTTATACACCGTTGGTAAATTATCATTATAACGGGAATTTTTTTGGCGAGTATTTCAAAATTTTCGACTAGGTTAGTTTCTGTTTATATTATTAGAAAAAGCATTTTAAATTATTAAAATATTTTTTTGATAGATGGGATTTAGCAAAATATATCCCCAATCAACATTTATTTATAAACATTATTAATATTGATGGACTTTATTTATTTTAATACAAAAGACAATTGGATACAAAATATTTTTTGACATGACATACTTTCATACACACACACAATCCGCATATACTCATTATACATTTTATATAGCATAAATTATATCATTATCATTTGTTTTTCTGTTTGCTGAATTGATTGATTGTTATGCTAGTCAAACAATTTATCATAAAATTAGGTCTGCAAAATTACATTAGATTTTCTATAAAATTTTGGCGAGTTGGTGATTGGTAGCTCTTTCTTGATTTCCTGAGAAAAATATTTCAGTGTACATGGTAATGAAATTACAAGAAAGTCTTGTAGCTGAAGAAAGGCTCTCATTGATTTTGCATTATTATAATTAAATAGATTAGTATTTGCATTAAATATTAAATTGATTTTAATTATTCGTTATTCCAATGCTTCAATAAATGATCCTTCAACTCTGGAATGGTATTCATTTTCTTCCCGCATAAATGACACTTCATAGGAGCTTTCAACAATCCTTCATAAAAATCTTTATCAAACTGTATATACAATAAAAGTAAATTTAATTGGGAAAATCAATTTAAATACTAACAAAGAATTGTAAAAATCTCGCCTGAAGTTTCCCGTTCTCCTGCAACGTTTTCAATATCTCGTCTGTGTCTTTGAAAAACCCAGTGGTAAATGAATTCCAATGCTTTTTATTCTTTAGTTTTGGTGAGATAAAATCTTGAGAGACTACGTGCATGTGAAGTTGTCTACCAATTGATTCTTTTAGTGAACTGATAATTTTTGCAATGCTTACCAATAACAGCTAGAGATTCCTGGAGAATACATACTTCATGCTCGGTATTGTATGAAATCCCATTCGAAATTGAAGCTTAGGATTTTCTTGTTTCATCCTATTGGAAAATTTATCAAGACATACTCATACATAAAATATTCATGTATTTAGAAACCTACCTCTCAATAACCCATTCACCTTTCTCTTTCATCTTTTGAACCAATTGTAAATCATCGCTGGTCAACTCATCTATAAAATTAATCCTACGTCTTGGTATCACCAGAAAATGCTTTTTTGCTTTTGGAAATTTATCCCAAACGATAACAAACTCGTCATCATAGTGGTACATCTCATCGTTGGAATATTTCTCTGGTTTTTCAAGATATTCGAGAAGTGCATTTTGCCATTGAAAACCCTTATTAGCTTTTTTACCGAATGAAGCGGTGGATGCTGTCGCAGTGGTTAATGAAGACTTTGAAATGGAAGAACTGGAATTACGAGATCCCTGCATCAGAACATCAACTAAAGAAAGTTACGGTAAATGGAATTGATTTAAAAGATGTAAATAAAATAATTATTTTAAAATTTACTAACAAGCTGACTTTGGTTTTTCCTTGCTCTCTATTTTAGACTCTTCTTTTTGCCCTTTGGGTGTATATTTCTGTCCACGTATAATGCATAGAAACGCATCAAACATCGTTCTGTACGCGTCGTTCAAGAGTTTTTTTGACTCAGTTATTGAGACTGGCGTTGAGCTCATATTTGGTGAAACCACATATATAAGCTGTGTATTGGAAACAAATCAATGTTGTAGTAGCTTGTTTTACTTGATGAATTAATTAATAGATCTCTGACTGAAAACATGCCTGTTCTATCCCATTCCGTTGACAAAATTCATTATCGCCTGGAACTTTTATAGGATAGGATTCGCCAGTCTATATTATTTATCGTCGTGTGATTAAAATTGAAATGGAATAAAGAATCCTTGAAAATAAATTAATAAAAGTAAATAAAAATAATTATTTACTATTCCGGGTTTGGAATATGTCTTTTTTATCTCTGAATCCAATTCAGGCCCAATAGCTTCAAGGATCTTCTTACTGAAATGATGTGCATCTAAATATATTTGTAAAATCAATGCTAAATACTTCGTTCCAAAATCAAATACGAAAAAAAACTATTCACCGACCGGGTTTAAGACGCCAAGTAGTTTCGCAAACAATATACCTAAAAAAAATTACAAAAAATAAAAAAACTATTAATTATCAAACAAAAATAATTATCAACCAACTAACTTAAATAACCTTGATTCTAAACCAGAAATAAAGGACATATTATCTGTAAATAATTCATTGACAAGACGTAATCGGGTTTCTTTAATCTTGTCATGTTGACTTAATTGCTTCGTTTAAATTCATTTTTATTAACAAATAATACACATCATAATCATAGTCTCGAAATTAACATTCTTTGTTTTAAATACCGTTTCATAAGCTTTTAATACGTTCAAATCCGGATCATAAAGTATTAATTCAAAGGATCCAATGTCATTGTCATCATCATTAATTTTATGTTTGGATAAGAATGCGTTGATTACCTATTTTTTAGGCACATTATTAAAAGTTCAATTGATTCATTATCAAGAAATTTAATGTGAAAAGCCATACATCGCAAGCCACAGGAACAGCTTCACCAACTGGGACTTTACCAAGACCAGTAGAAAGTGATGGAAACACCAAACGTGCAATATTTTCTTTATTCTTTTTTAAATAAATAACACATACATAAATGAATTTCGACATTTATTATACACTAACACTATTACAAACCAATTTACGACGTTGCTTTTTATGATCAGAGGAAGAAAAAGAATGCATTGTTAATTTTCTATCATGTGTATCATTTTCTTCTGAAGGTATATGGAAATTATATCACGCGTTTTATCATTATTTATATATAGCCTATCGCGAATAAAATCTAAAGCGTGAAACTTTGCGTTCTGACTCCTTGTCCGGTATTTACGTCACGTGATCCGAAAAAGCGGTGGTAGCCCTTTTTAAAGACAAGTTTTTTTGTGTTTGGAAAAGAAAGGACGGAAATGCTTTAGCTCGTCTATAGTGTGGTGTCAATAAGTTTTATTAATATATTCGATTGCATTGATCACCAGTTCTTGATATTTTCAGATTTCAGTTTTTTTAATATCATATTACGTTCATATTTTTTCAATTAGTCCAAATGCCAATACTGTTCTTAATTAAAAATGATATTATTATTTTTTTACTTTTATAAGGAGAGACTTTTGAAATAATCGATGATATAATGATTTTCTTTATAGATTATCTTCGAATTTTATATGATGCATATCATCTAAAGTCATATATTTATAATATTGAACAAACTTTTTTAACTAAGATGTAAATTCAAAATTTAATCCATAACTATAATAGAATACTTTTCTTAATTTATAAAATATAAATGTTTAATGACTTTAGATGGTATGCACCATATAGACCACATGGATCATGATTTCTGGCATTTTAATGAACTATATAATAAATGACTTTTCGTTCTTTATATATATTTCCTGCAAATTACACCGGAACTAGTATAAAGAATCTCCAGTATATCGAGGATTTTTTTAATAAAAAATCTGTCTCACAGGAATCGTACATTATATCAAGATTTAAATCGAGCCACTAGAGGGGGGGGGGGGGGGGGGGGGGGGGGGGCAGAAAAAACAAAAAAAAAAAAAAAAAAAAAGCAAAAAAACAAAAAAAAAACATTTTATTTTAAAGAAACTTAATTACCTTTAATATATACTTTGCTACTTTTAAAAAAAAAATTTAACTCTTCTCTTTAAAAAAGATGATTCCTCGTAATATTATGGACGAAGCGTCCAAAAACAAAACTGACCTTCCTCAACCAAAAGCTAATAATAAACTACAAGGACAGGTAAGAAATAACTTTACTATCAAAAGACTACCTTAGTTATAATTTGGTTCATTTTCTTTCGTCGATCTTGATCTGATCTTTTCATACTATTGAGAATTATTATATGACTAAATATTATTGTATACATTATTAAAACATTTAATTCTTTCTTACTTTATTCAACTTTATTCAACTATATTCAATATCGGATTATAGCAAGTGGCTGCGCTTTTGAGGGATAAACATGATTACGATTATGATATTTTTGGAAGCACACGGCAAGATATTAGTCGTTCTAATAGTGCTCCGCCAACTCAAGTGGTAGATCAGCTTGGTCGGTTTGATCCTTCAGAACTAGATAATCCATCACCTTCCGATCCACGCTTAGATCCTGACTATCCGGCATTTTATTACATGAATTCTCGTCTTGATCCTAGACTTCCTCCCCCTTTATATACTCCCGG